AGCGCGCACCGACAGGGCCTGCTCGATGACGAAGACGCATTGCGACAGGTCCGGGGGCACGTTCTGCAACAGGGGCGCGCGCACGGCCTCAGTCCCTGCCAGCGCACGCACGCGCGCGCGCGCGCGCGCCGGGCAACAGAGGCGCGTGGAAGATAACAGGGCGATAAGGAGGCGAGGAGAAGAGAAGGAGACGGAACAGAGGAGACAATGGGAACAAGAGAAGAAGAGAGGAAGATGGAGAGGAGAGGAGGGAACGAAGAATGAAGGCAGATAAGAATGGAGGAGGGAAAGTATTGAGTAGAAGAATGGAGGGGGAAGAGTAGAATGAAGGAGGAAGAGGATGGAATTGTAGAAGAATGGAGAAAGAAAATGATAGAGTAGAAGAGTGGAGGAATAGAGCAATAGAGGAGAATAATGGAGGTGGATGAATATAGGAGAGGAGGAAGAGGGGAAGAGAACGAGATCAGAAAAGTATATGCATAGGGAAAAGGAAGTGAATAGGAGGGGAAGAGAAAAAGAGAGGAGGAAGAGCAATAGAAGAAGAATTCGATACGAAAGAGGGGAGAGAGAAGGAGAGAAGGTTAGGGAAGGAGAAAAGAAAAGGAGACGTGGTTAGAGGGGAGGTGAAATAATGAAAATAGGAGATTGAGAAGACATGAGAAAGAAAAGGAGCAGATGTATGATGTGGAAGATAAATACATGGTAAAGTTGGAGTAAGAGAACAAGAATTAGGACACGATGGGAAATTAAATGAAAGAAAAGGGAAGGAAACAGATAAAATATTGGAGGAGAAGAAGGAAACGGAAATGTAAGAAGATGCATATGGGAAGAGGCCGGGATGAAGTCGGGAAGGTGGAAGATGAAGAGAATGCAATGGTGCAGTAGAAGGTGGAGGAGAAGAGGATGAAAGTGGAGGTGATTGGAAACGGAGGAGCAAGAGGAAGAGTCGAAAGGAGGAGGAGGAGGAGGAGGAGTAGGTGGAAGTGGTGGAGGAGCCGGGGCGAGGGGTTGGCAAGCTTGAGCTCTGGGACCGGACGTCCATCGTTTGTTTAACTTGCGGAGAGGAGCTGGCCAGGAAGTGGTTATTTTGGAGAGGCATACTTTTCAAGACGTTTTGGTTTGGATTCCCGGGAATCGTGTTTTGAGTGAAAAAAGCCTGAATTTCATTTGCACTTCATTATGTTATGTATCCGCACGGACCGTAAGGTTAACAGCCGAAGGTTTTCAGTAGGTAATTGAACAATGTTTCACTAAAATCTAAAACAAAACATAAATAAATATTCTAATTTCAATAAACAACACATTGAAAACCAAATTATTTGGATGGCTGAAAATTTGCATAGAATTAACGCAATTGTACAGTCAATGATAATTTTTATCAAAGGTCCATCTAATAATCAATGTGTTGTGTTATTGTAGTGGGTGTGTACTATTATTTAGTATTTTTGTTGTATTACTGTCAACAGAATTACAGATTTTGATTTTCATTTTATTACATAAACTTGTATACTTCTGAAATAGAAAACGAGAATTTTCTGTACTGCTCGCAAAAAGAGATGGTGGTGTGTAGCAGAAGGAGAGGTAGGAGGAGAGGAAGAGGAGAGGAAGAGGAGACGAGGAGTATAATAGGAAGTAGAGAAAGAGAAAAGAAGGAGAGAGAATGAGGAAGGAAGGAGAAAAAGAGAAGGGAAGGGTAAGGAGGAGAGATATGATGAAGACAAATAGAATGAAGAATACGAGGAGGAGGAGGACGAGGAGGATAAGAGAGTGGAAATGTGGAAAGGAATATGAAGTAAAGGTAAGGGGGAGAGGAGGGTTGGATGAAGTGGAGCTTTCCGCGTTAAAGGAACGCTTAACCTAACAATATTAATTACATTTTTGGTAACTGGTAAGACATGATTATAAACAAATATTAATTTCTCTTATTCAAAGCAAATGTTTCTTCGTATTGTGTTTATGATGGGAAAGTAACTTAATATACTCTATGTGTGATGTGGGGTGCACGTTTAATCAATATATTGTGTAAATGATTGTTGAAAAGTAGTCTCATTATTGTGTAAATAAAATGCTTGTGTTTGCAGTATTTTATAAGATGGAATAATAAAGTACAATCACTTTCAAATATATGGTTTCTCATTTGTTTTGGTGAGTTAAATATCATCCAGCGGTATGTCAACTAATTCTTGGAGAAAACAAAAAAAGTATATTGTCAATATTTTTATTTCAATGAGAACAACTTAAAGTGCAATTGAAATTTCAGGACGGAATGAGAATCTTAAAAATGCACGGGTATGCTATTTCGCCTCCAGGTGATGCCGTGAACTATTTTGCCACGAGATGACCACAAAATTATGAACATGAGCAATTTCATCCAGGGCTTCACATGGACAGCGGAGACAACAAAACAACCCTGCGAAAATCCGCTCAGAGAGAACTGTTTGTTCACTCACCTTGTCTGCAATTGTCTCCAGGTAGCAATGCCGGTTGCCGAAGCCTTCCGCCGCTAGACATACTCTTTCGCCTGTCGCTGTACACGACAGGCACACCATGTCCTCCTGCAAACCCAGAGGGCACATCGTCAGCTCAACACACTTCACTGCGTCTCTTTAGAAATTTCAAGGCGTAATTCGCGAGTGAAATTCGTTTTCGAAATCGTGGGGCAAAATGGTGTAATTATTCCATTACTATTTAACGGATGTTAAGAAATTCAAACATTTTTATTTGGGGGAGAACAATTGCATTATTATTTGTGCGAGTGTTCTGTGAAAAATTGGATTGTTGAGACCAAAATATGTATTAACATAATTATGCTTTCATGTATTTTTTTTAATTTCCCGTATTTCAGTACTATGCATTTGAATTATCTTCTTGTTTATTATAATAGATATCCCTCTCTAACAAAAAATACTCTTTACTAAGATATTCTAGATCAAAACGTTATAAAACCCTTTTAACCTATCAGGATATCCCAAATAACAACAGAATAAAAATAATATTACTTAAATCAACACAATCATAGCCATCATGGCGCAGGAATCAAATCTCATACAAAGTTATCTCTGAGAATTTTGAGTTTTCTTTCTCAATAATCATTCTCGACGTGTTACTTCAACTTCTCATCTCATTAGAATCGTCATCCTATAATGCAGATATTTATTGATTATGCAGAGGTTTTTAAAACCCAATTAAGGGAATAATTGTTAATCTCTATTGCCATTGAAACAAGTTTCAAGGGGGCAACCAGCCAAAAAGGAATTTTGTGCCCTTTTAGTCAAGGACATAATCCTATCACGTATTCTAATTAACGGTCATTACTTCCCAAGCAACGATTAAAAGTGGTATCTCAGAGTCAAATCCACCAATAACTCTTCATGAGTAGTCTCATAAGCACGAAATAGAAATTCTTAATGAGAAAGAAAAATGAAGGCTGAAATGTACGAGTAATGATCCATTTTGAAACACGAGTTAAGGAATTCATTAGCTTATCCGGATAATAATTCCAGAAGTCAGGCCAGAGAAGACTTGGAAAGAGACTCGATTCCTGAATCCACATCTGCTCGCATGCATACGGCCCCGATAACATGCACGCTTCTGGGAATGTTTCCAATAATTCGCCTTCTGAGATCGCGTGCATCTACTTCCCGTTTACCCTAGTATCCCAGAGCAGCCATATTTGACAACGATTGATTTATGTTGATTCACCCGGCCACGATGAAACATTTTTCAAGTATTGGGTCATACTTCGGGCAAAAATGTCAGCGTATTGTACAAAGGACGGTACAGCCCCTAGTACGTCACCGTGCTCGGCAGCACAATTGTTTCGTAACATGGCCGGCTTCTTGCGTGACTGTACAGCTCGCGTGACTTGCTAGATGCCTGCAGACTAGAGAATCGCGACAAATGACGATGGTCACTCACGGAACCCATGCTCTCTTGGTCCTAAGAGGTCTTCGAAAATGACGCTCCCCACATTAGAAAAAAGCCGGGTGCGAGTACTACGCCAGCTTTTCTGAAAACTTGAAAGCAAGAAAACGGGAGGGTAAAAAGGAAGATTTTTATGGAGGCGTGTGGTATTAATTTTCCGCATTCTATGCCGCAGTGTTGCTCGTAACATTGTTCAGAAGTTGTAGGCCCAAGGAATGTAAAGGTCGTTTTACTTCGTAGAATGACGGTGGGAATATTAGATGAGGATCGATCTCGTAAATTAGTACCATAGAAGTTTAAACCGAATAGTTTAACATAAGAAAGCTTGTTGATATTAACACTGTCTCTAGACACACAAAACTCCCATACGTTGTAAAATAGTACATTAAAAAATATTTTGAAAACCAACACGTAAAAAAATGTTCAAGCTTCGAAACTGATACAAATTTATAAAATATTCAAAACAAGCTCCCGTCATATGTACAGGTAAGAAATATGCTCTACGCTGTGATAAGAATTCCCTACGTTTGGCGTGGGTGTCTCTGGCACAGAGTACTTTTGACAATGTGCCTAATAGTTCCCAGGCTGGCCTTCAACAATTTAGTGTTTGTGGTGACCTTCGCATTACAGACTACGTTGTATTGTTTAGTTCTATTTAACAGAGTTAATTTAAAATAAGGTATCCTGCACTTCAAATTCTAAGAACTCAGCAATTTTCTCCTCCCTAATTTCATATCGAAACGTTCTATTCACTACGATAACTATGTAGAAATATCTACAATAAAAACAAATTGATTTGATCTTCCGAAAGTTGGTTGTATTCCAAGAAAATGTATTCGGTTAATTTTATATTTTGTGTCTTAGGTTTATATTTAATAAATGTTTCTCGTGAATATGAAATGATAAATTTCTTGTGTTATCGGAATCTTGGCATCAGATGTTTCGTGTTTGAGTGGCAGCAGAGAGTACACTCACATTTTAGTTCAAACAATGTAAGACCAAATTGAGGTGGATGATTGTTGATAACAATCGGTCACCTAAACTTTCTAGCGACAACATTAGCTTCGTCCTATGGAGAATCAAAACGAGAACGTTTTTCCCACCGAATCTTTTAGAACGACCATTATTTTACGAATACCGTAACCCAACCGTTATTGAAACGTTTTCATATATACATATATACAGTTCACCACAAACATAAATATAGTTTTATCACTATAAGGTTTTACCTTTTTTGTATCAATATTTATCGTTATCCAAATTCATTTAACTCGTATGGAGTACTGCACTTAGGTTTAAGCGTTGTTCTAAACACAGCTTAGGAATGGACGACTTTTTTAATTCCATTTTATCAGCTCACAGTAACTAAACTTATGAGCCATGAAGAAGGAAGATGTTCAAAAATTACCACCAAGAAGAGAAAACAAAAAATAACGATTCGT